GCAGAGAAGTTTGCAGAGGAGCTGAGCTGGATGCACTGTAAAATGGGAGAAATTATTACATGAATATTTTCCAAATCAGTCAGAACGTCATCAGTTTACCGTAATACTCAGGTTCAAGCAATGAGTTAAGTGAATCAACTGCAAAGTAATGTATGAAAGTAAATAATATAATTATTTTTAAATATGGTTAAGTTGATTTCATTCTTTAATAGTGGCACATATTGGGTATACGTGGTGGTTAGAGTTATAGTGTTAAGAGGAAAATGTTCAGCAAAGGCTATTCTACAGCTAATGTCAAACAAAAACTCCCATACAAATCATGAGAGTTCTTATATAAATTTTTTATTTAATCCTCAGACCACCAAACATGCTTTACAAAGGAAAGTCTGGATGCTATAAACACAGCAACTACAACAACCTTTTTTGCTGAAGAAAGCAAAGTTGTGAGGTTGCCACAACCAACCTAACAACTGCAGAAACACAATGAAACACAATAAAACCAAACTGTTTCATTGTATAAACTGTAAAATCTTTTTTGTTTGCCTTCCATTACGCACCACATTTCATAGAGGAAAAAAAGCTACGATTCTGGCCTTATCAGCGCTTCTTTTAACACTGGTTTACTTCAACTCATTCTTCAGTCAAAGGGCATAGATGTGCAGTACACAACTATCTGTTATAATGATCTTCCCACTTGAGCTGCAGTTTTCTAAAGCTCCTCCAAAGCAGAGATAGTTCATTGTCAGCTTCTCTGATTACCACTCTCTTTGTCCTGCCAATCATTTTAGCTGGATTAAACCCCAATAAAATAATTTTTAAAGGTGACGTCACAGTCGACTGACGTCACAGCCATGGTGCGGCTGATTGACAGGTTGAGTCTTGGAAGTTGGAGACGATTGGAGAGAGAGAGAAATGGTGCAAGAATAATTTAATTAAGTAAAGTCCCTTAAAGAAATATCTTTTGAGCGGAGAACTTACCAAGAGAAGCTGAGGGTAAAAGCTCTTTGACCTGATCAGCCAAACATCAAAATTAATCAGCAGTACAAAGACGGATGGAGACTATTCACTGTCTTTTTCCAGGACCTGGTTTAAGTACAAGACTTGGCTAAATGCATGCAGTGAGGCTAACGCTTTATTCTGCTTTCCCTGCCTCCTCTTTCAAATGTTAGGATCTGACCCAGCATGGATGAAGAAAAGTAGGACTGAAAATAAATAGTCAGTAGATTGAGAAGATCAGTAGTTTTTATTTATTAAAAATCTATAGCTGCAGTGGTGCTGTGGCTCTGTATGAGCTCCACATGGCAAATAATCTTCAAGACACCTTCTTAGAGACTGGCTCTGCTGAAGCTCGTCATCACAACTCCCATGACCACAGCTGAATCTCAGAGGTGCTTCTCAACACTGAAGAGGATAAAGACCTTCCTCAGGAGCACAATGTCACTGAATCGTTTCAATGCCTTGGCCATGCTCTTTATGGAGAAGAACTTTATCAAAACCATCCCTAACTTCAACCACAGAGTCATTGAGAAATTTGCTTCTCTCAAAGACAGAAGGGCAAAATATATGTACAACAAAAAGCTGTCATATGTGGAAGCACTGTATATACTGTATATATCCCATGCACCTTTTTCTTCGTGAAGCAACTTCTTCTCTTTTTGACTATTTGAGCTGATGTAACAAATACTTTTCTCCACTGTGAGATCAATAAAAACAATCAATCAATCAATCAAAAGGTAAACCTCTACAAGAATTATTTTCTTTTTATAATTTTGTTTTTTGTTGTTGGCATTGATTTAAATATACCGGCTGTACCATAGTAAATATTTTACTTTTTTTTTATACATCTAGTTTGAATTTACAGCCCCCCTGGAGAAAACTCCACCAGCCTCCACTGATTAGAGGGTACAACAAACAACACAATCATAACAAAAGGACATAATAAGATTACTGACCTTGAGAGGGTTAACATTCTATCAGTGGTTCAGTAAGCATCACTGTAGTAGAGGAATTATGGTGTGTGTGACCAGACATTTTTTTGGATTTTCCTGTAGTCTATTATTGCAATATTGACATAATATAAAAGGTAAAATTTAAAAATGAATGAGCCATTTAGTGTTTTTATTGATGGTGCTACCCTAGAAAACTCCTGGAAATTTTGATACTTCTTACCCTGACTTTTCAAGAAGATCGAAATGATTACAGTAACAGAAATTCTTTCCCTTACAATGCAAAAACTCAGGCAGGTAGAACCCGTAACACGATGAGGAACACAAAAGAAAAATGCAATACTGTATGTTCCATACAAAATACGCCAGTAGTGATGTATCTGTTTACTATAACCCTTTAAATCCAATAAATAAATTTGTACATTAACTAATATGTTTATTCGAGAAAATTTAGCAATGTCTCAATCTCACTGATATGAACAAATGTGGAGGTTGACTGCAATGCAAACAATCAAACACTTCCTCCCAAATTGTGTGACTAATCATTTCCCAGTGCGCTGGCAGATGCTAACCAAGTAAAACATTCTGAGATGGGATTTCATTTTTTACTTTAAGCCTTTTTAAGGTGTATATTAAAAAGAAAATTACAGTGGCTTTCTGTTATAAATAATTGTTTCAACATTTAAATAGCTTAAATGATTTAGGTTTAGTCATGTTTTTTATGTGTGTGAAATCAACTTTTTCTTCATTTCCTTGTGACTTACATGTAGGCAGAAACATCCAATGTATTTCCGTACATATTCATATGTCTCAGGGCAAATAAGAAAAAAAATGGTCAGGAACTCATCGAATTAACTTGTGATCACCCTAAACAATAAAACATTTTCAGACTCTATGTATTTCTTTATTTACAAAAAAGTTATATGCAGTACTTGTATTACGGTCTCCTGTATGAGTATGTCTCAGATTAAAATGCAAAATTAAATTATATATACATCGTCAACAAAATCTGGTGATGGCTTGTGGCCAGTAGAGTTTGGCTCATTCTGATATAATTGCATAAATCAGGTGAATAAATTCAAATATTTCTAAAGGAGACAGAAAGAGAAGACAGATCACAACTAAATACAGCTGGTATGAAAACTCAGGTAAGCTAGGGTTTAGTCATCTTGTTGTGCTTCACATAAAAATGTAAATAGATAAAAAAGAAAATTAGATGTCATGTTAAGCATGATGTCAGTGTCAGTGGATGGATGGTGCACGTCATTTTGAAGATGTGGTTGCTGCACATTTCCAAAAGGATGAAAGTGTGGAGGCTGATGATAGAGATGGGCCTGTGCTGAGATTTAGCCTATCAAATAAGAAAACAACATTCCCCATTCAGACTTACATATGAAAAATACTACTTATGAAACCTGATACCTTATTTCCTCAACTGCACCTCATCTTTCTCTTTATCCCATAACCGTAATTACTTTCCCTACAACACATATTCTCTACTTTTCCGCCTATGACTATAGCCCATTGCTAGCTCTCCTTCTTCCAAGCATCCCTCAGCAAGTCTCTGCAGATTTCATATCCTGATGCCCAAACCAACCCATCACCTCAACCCACGTCTTCATAATCCTTTAAGCTCAAATTGTTGTGATTTGTACCTTGCTACTACTGAAAAGGAAATAATAACTTATTCTAAAAGCTTTTATATGTCTCAATGTTATTTTTCATTTTGAAGAACGGAATTACAGTTCGTGCATAAGCTATCTGTATTTGTGTATAGGTTGACTAACTTGTGAGCATGAATACAAATGTCCAGTACACTTTTCAAATGTTCTAACTATGAATTTCTTTGAATTCAGTGGATCCTTTCTCTTTACTTCAGAACTACTTTATTTTATATTAATTTATGGCATAAAATCCACTTGAAATCCATAAACGGTTTTTGACGAATTTGGGACAGTCGAAGTAAGTGAATCAAAAAAATAATCTAAAATAGTTTGGTAACTTTTATTTATCATCAGGTGTATTTTTATTTTAAGAAACATTTTCTTTGACCTTGTCAAACATCTGATGCCTTAACTTAACTAAGTGGTCTGTTTGTGTGAGGAATAAAAGACCATTTACAGACTCCTTTTTCTTCTTATTAACCTGAACTCATCCTTAAACGATTGGAAAAACTGTGATAGATTATCTCAATATTGAGAAACCACTGCGTCACCTGACTACTGAAAAAATTCTGTCTAAACGTTAATATTTTCCAAACATGTGGCAACATATTATTTTAGTTTTTTGTAATTGAATTATACATAAGAAACAAAATGTAAAATGTCTGAATGAGATATTCACAAAAAAGGAGATGAAGTAAAAATCTTTAGCTGCATTACTTCATAATGATTCAATGACTTTGATAGTATAAATGAGCCCCTGAGATTTATTAGAACTGTGAAAGAGCTCAGCAGACTGTTGTGGGCTACACTTGCTTGATCAGCAAATTTGGTTTTGCCTTTCTCTCTTTTGTGTTATAGTAATAATAATCAATTATTCATTTCATTAAAAAACTTGAAACAGCATCAATAAATCCAAATGGATATGCTGAAAGCTTGATTAAATTCCAGTCATATTAATATTTAAATTTCAATCTTTTTTATGTTCTGCCTATCTTTAATATGTTTAATGACTAATTAGTATTTGATTGTTGTTTTTCTTTAAATTGCCTTAAATGTTCTTCCCTCTCTCTTACACATATGTTTTTATTATGTAACAATATACTGCAGCACTATGAGGCTACGCACCAAGCAGCAGGACACACCGGCAGGCTTTAAAAGTTGGCAGATTACTGCAGGACCGTCTGCAGTGAATTTAAAGGGGACTGGCATAATGTTAACACCATCTGCTCTAATTACCTCTGGACCATTTATTTTCTGTTTCCCTCTGCAGAGCTTTCCTTCCACATTCAGGCAGGATGTGTGTAATGAGGCTAGGTGCCTCTATGACAACCTGCCACGCAGGAAAGCTGCAGTGATAGATGCTGCAGCACAGAGAAAAAAAGCTGCTTACCTCAAGGAATGAGTAGTAGAAGCAGAAAACAGGATCGGCTACCCTCTTGTCAGAGGATGAAAAAATCTCAGTAGTCAGCCTTTAGGATCCTCCTACACTGGAAATGCATTTCAAATGACCAGAAAAGTAATGATTAACCTCAGTATAGATAAATCCCACAATCACGTGGGGTCTTGTGGTCCAAAGAAAAAGTCACAAATAGGATCTCTTGGCTCAGAGTGCTTCTGATGTAAACTCAAATGAGGAAGAGAGGACAGGAAACACTCACATAGATTAACATAGTTCTCACACTGACATCAGCTCCAACATCAGGACCGGTGGAGTTCCTCTGCTGTATTTCCCGGCACTGTTCCCTGATTGGCTGTGGAGCTACTCAATAAAAACCCTGTGTGTCATCAACTGGGCATGGAGGGAGGCAGGTTTTCTTTGGCGCACTAACAACTGCGCTCCTCCTCTTTTCTCCTTTTTCTCCTTAGCACATACAGACAAGGAGTGCTGAGCTTTGAGAATCAGAAGCAGGAGAAATAGGAGGGAGGAGGAAAGGCAGAATAATCAATAAGTGATGGAAGGAGAGGTCAAGATGGTAACCAGTAGGCTGCAGTCATTCTTAAAGAGCTTAGTTAAGGTCTCCTAGCTGCTGTGAATCTGCATGATCCTTTGGTTCAGTGAGGTGCTGTGAGCTTGTTTTATTGTGGTAGTAGGGAAAGCTGTTTTTTTTTTGTTTTTCCAGCTCTCCAGCACAAAAACCTAGTTTGGCTTTGCATGTTACAATAAATTTTAAAAGGCCCCTTAATTAGAAGAATAGAAAGGGGCAAAATGTTCAATAGAGGTTTTTTGACAAAGTCTAAAAGTCCATAGTTTTTATTCTGTTAAAATGCAGACGAAATGTCCCTTCTTTAGATAAAATAGTCAGAGAGATTCTTCCATTTTTTATTTTTTTTTACCCCAGTACCCCAAACTAAGTTTAATGGACTCATGCAGGACTCATTCCAAAAGAGTCAGTTTCCAGCTTCCATTATGCTAGGTTGCATATTTTGAAATTAAAATTAAAGAGAGGTTCATGTGTTACTTTGTGTAGCACTAACTCGACCATTTAAAAGCAGAAATACTAAACATCTTGTCAAAAAATTTCTTCATTTCTTTTTTTAGCTATTCAAACATAAAGAAAATGAAAATTGGGTTGTGAAAGCCTGTCGTGCTCATTTAGAAGTGAAACATTTGTTAAAGGAAAGCAACAACTGATGAGGGTGCCAGCTTCCCACTTACACTTATTAGAGATTTTTGGAATAGTGCCAGTTCTCTGCATCAAAGGCTAACCAGGTTTCCTCTTAGAGGGGCACTCAATTTCATTGCCTTTGAAGTTCCCCTTGTCAAAGCAGTGGTTGATGCATCACCAATGAATGCAGAAACTCCACTGGATAAGTCAGAAATGCTGCGTCACTTGAGGATGTCTTTTCTTAATAGGAACCTTTTATACAGTGGGACCGCCTGTAACTGTTTAGAGTTGTGAAATATGAGACTAACAGACAATGTTTGACTGCATCTATTCACTTAAAGAACAAAGCCGTTGTTTCAAATTCAACTTTATTGAATTTAATCAAAAGAAAAACAAAAGAAAGAACAGATATAACATAACATGAAGTATAGGTGAACATGGGCCTGGAGTGGTCATGACTTTTAGCTACAGCTTTGGTCTTATAACCATGAAGCTCACATTTGATATAAAAGGCATTTACTACGGTTTAACTTTTGAAAATATTGTTGAATTACAAACATAAACTACAAGAAAGTCCATGTGTTTGCAAGAGGCATTCCTTTTTAGTTGGGTCTATGTCATTTTCAGGTGTTCATTATTTTGTTGTTTAATATGTTGTGTTAATGTGAGCACATAAATTGCGCATAGTCCATTTATTAAGCTAAAATGTATGACTTAAGATCAAGGAGATGCAATACATGATATTTAGGATAAACATTAAGCATATATGGTTTCCAATAATTGTACTGGCCCCCTTTCATTAGCAGTTCAGCTGCAACCATTTTGTGGCATTTGTATCAGCTTAGTCTTTGCTAATTAGCTCAAACAAAGTCAAACTAGGAGGCAAACATCAGTCTTGCAACAGATGGTCAGCAGGATTTTGGTCTAGACTTTGGTTTGAACTGATTGATGCTAATTGATGAGGTGCATCAGTGGTTGCCATGATATGTGCTGTTTAAATAGTGCTAGCAGTATGAAAGGAGGAAGGAAAAGGAATATGTATATGTTTCCCATCAAAGTTGATTTAGCAAAGGGATCTGTTGATTAAGAGCTACCGTATAAGGAATTCCACAATCCTAAAAACAGACCACCTCAGAGATTTAACTGGGTGGAAAATATGCAACTATAAACACCTGCTCATGTTTTTTTGTTTTTTTTTCTAACCAAAAGCTGCAGTTATTCACTACATTTGAGTCAGATTAGTTTTTTGTCGTTCTTTTCTAAGTAGCTGTAGTCTTGATTTTAGAAGCATCATCTATGTGCATTTCTGTAGCATGAATTGCAGTGGCTTAATGGCTGTCTGGATTAAGAACAGTATAGACTTCTTGCTGTTGACCCCAAGAAGGTTGAAGGAACATGAGCTAGGGGCTCCAATTAGTTGTATTCGATTTTATTTAGTGACTACCTGTCATGGACTTCTCTTGTTTTTTGTTTCTGATTATTGCACTCACCTGTTTTCTTTGTTCATTTCCTATAAGTAGTGGTTCATTAAAATATATCCATCCACTATGCATCTGCCAATGTCTTGTTTGCACTTCAGTCACCAACAGCAGAACATGGCATAATTATTTTCAAACCAATTGCTTTTATCTAAATCTGGGGTCTTGAGTCCAGCTGCTCAGGATCACTGTCCAGCATGTTAGATGGGTCTCTGATCCAGCAAACCTGGAGGAAATTGTATTACTTTTCCAGCAGCAATAAAGTGCTGCAGAGGTCTGTTTGTCACTCATTAATTTAAGTCAGTTGTATGAAGGTATGGGACCACTTAAAGCATGCACTAAACCTTTGTGTTGTAGCTCTGGCTGTATATCTATGGTGGCTGAATTAATGAAAGGTGAACGTCCCCCTCAACTTTTATTTACTTCTATCCACTTTTTAAACTCAAATTTCCTATTTTTGCTGGAGGAACGCACCATCACATTAACATACACCCACCACCACCATGTTTAATTGCAAGCAGGGTGAGGAGTGATGTTGTTTTGTGCTTATTTAAACAATGCTTTCATCCTAGTAATCTTCTGAAAAAATAGCATGTAAACAAAAAGACTGGTCCTTAGATATCAGTTATTTAAAATCTGCTCTCCCATTTATTTCTCCTTATTATTAAGTGCATGTTAAAGTGACATTTAAATGCAGTCAAAACACACCCAGGAATGGAATATGCAAGTAACCGTATTACTAAAGAGTGTCACAGAGACAGCTAAAGAGTTTAGGACATTTTTCTTCTGTGCTTAATTAATTTGAATGATTTTAAAACTGTACAAAATGAACACTTATAATAAAACATTTTTGGTCTTAATATTCAGGCACTTATAAGGAAATTCCTAAAAAGTCTGCACTCTTCTGGGTCTCAGGTTTATGAAAATACACATACAACAGATACACTGAGACAAAGGGACAATCACTTGCAAAATCAAAGTTGTTTTGATCTATTTATTATCACGATGATTCTCATCTTAATTATCTTTATTATGTGTAGTACTGAAACGTCCTTGTAAAGGGTTTACACAAAGACATTGTTCCATTCGTGATTCATGATTTTGCCTGTATGAGGCTTGCTTCAACATAACTCGAATACGTGTCCAGCATTAAAATAGAAGTCATAGGAAAAATGTGTTCTACGTGCCCACCAGATCAAAGCATTTTATGTTTATCTATAATTTAAAGTGTTGTGAAAAAGTAGATTGAGGTTAGAAAATATAGATTCTGATCTTTTTCTAATGTGCTGCTTCGCTTTTGTTATTAAGCTGCTGACAGGGAGGTTATCCCCTCCTCCAGAAGGTATACACATTCACTGTTTTACTTTGATATTATTATCAATCTAATTTTTTTATTATTTATTTTCCTAAAACAAATATAGAAATATCTCATCTAATTTCTAAAGTTTGGTGCCTTAAATGTATTTTTAATTCTAAAATTGTGTATGTTAACAAATGGCCTTAATTTTTCTAAGCCTTTTTAATGTGTGAGACCTTAATTAGCAGAAGTAATCTTTTTTTCTGTGACCCTGTTGGAGCATGTCAGCATCCAGGGACTCATCAGAAATAGGCCCAAGACCCAATATGGATCATAGCCTAAAGGTTAAAGGTACACTACTCAAACTATAGAAAATACATCAAAAAATAACATTATAAAAGGGAAATAACATAGCTAAGAACTAAGAACAATTTAAATGCTTATGCTGTATACATCTTGTGATCATTTATGCCTACATTTTTCAGTTATATATTTAATAACATACAGTTAACTGGCAAACCAAGTTTAGTCTTTTAATGCAGGTTTTTCTAATGTCATTACATGATTTGACCACCAGAGGACGCCAGGTTCAAAGAAGCCTTTTTTTAGAACTTCTATTTAAATTAACTTTTGCATTTGCTACACTGTACCAGGTTTTCTAGCAGGGTTGACCTTTACTTTACTACAGTATTTGAAATAAAATATGTGTGAGTAGAAGAGCATTTGGTTTTTGTTTTTAACTGAAACCAGATGGGGAAAATATATTTTGTAAAATGAGATAGGATTATCCTTGTACAGTAATTGCCTGTTCAATTTCTATTCTTTATTTGTTATTTCCCCACCAACTCAAATACAGCAACTTAAGACGCAGAAGTTCATTTCAGCAGCTGAGCTACTTGGTCCAAAAATAACCTCAACAAGATGGAGCAGCAGGACTAATTTTGTCAAGCCTCTGGGTGAACGCTAGTGTTTCTGTAACCTCGATATCTATGGCATCCAAGCCCTATCACTATGCAAGCAACTCATACATGAAATAGTTACAAGATCAGTACTTTGGTTTAACATTATTATTGTAGTATTCCTAGCATACTGAATAAGAAATCAGCCAAAAATGTGCATAAGGATGTTTAGAGGATAATATTTGAACCAGTCAGTAATAGAGAAACCTCCTGGTTTTCTGCCACTAAAATTATGTCAGTAAATGTTAGCTTTTAAATAATAAAAGTCAAATTTGATCAAAAAAGTACATTTTGCTTAGCATTTCTGTATTTAACATTTTCTTAAGTAAACCTGGCATTTAATGCATACTAAATGTCTTTGAAATACTTTCATTCCTGTTCTTGTGCTTTACCTCTCATCAT